ATAAAGCCGTCTTGGACGTTGCTGTCTGCCCGTCTTTATTTAGTATTATCTCCGCTTCTTTCAACAAGAATTCTTTGCCCTATCAACAAAAATTCTTTGCTCTGTCTTACATCACATCCAAAATCTTGAGCATCAACATATACACTGATCCTTTCAAAAACTATCCCTCATAATCTCATTGTCTATCTAAAAGCGTCTCCTCGGCTATTGCAACTGGGACATGTCTTAGTAATTAAAGGCAGAGGCAAATTTGCTACATTTGCTGAATGTTGTGTGTCAGGTTCTTAAATCAAGTCGTGTTAGAGCCTTTCACTTTTCTCTCTTTCCATCCGATTTCCATATTCTATTTTTATCGTCAGTAAATACACAAAAATGGAAAATGTCTTAAGACAAGGATGTATCTTCTCACCGGACTAACCTAAAATTTTGTGAGGTGATCTTGAGAGAATAAATACTACCATTATTGAACTTGTAGCGGAACTGAAAGGCAGCAGTCTGTGGGTTCTGCTGAACTGACTACAGTTCGCCGTTCTAAGAGGCAACGAGTGGCATGCGTAATATGTAAGCAGAATAGTGGACGCTTACACAAATGTAGCAACCGTCCCTGGCAAAATGAAATATTGGACGAACGAGGAAAGAAAAGAATGGCCAACCTTGGAATCGTCCACGAATCTGTGCGTAATGTAAAGTCCGGTTGCTTGACGGCAAAAGAATCAAAATGGTGACGCCCATGATTTATAACGGTGATCTCGGACGACTAACGCGAAATCTCGTTAGTTAGTGATTCGTATGTAAATTATGGTCGATCCTCGGCTGTATAAAGCGAGCCGTCTTTTGGGAGAGACGGAGGCGTTCTTGTTGGCGAAGGCTGGGTGTGTGACCCAATTTTGCCGTCTCTACGTGGCCTGTTGGATTGTTACGTCGGACAGTCGTTGAACTGGATTTTGGCTACAAGTGTTGCGGTTGAGAGACGAATCTGTTGCAGACTTATTCCTACCAGAAATTGACACTCATTATTTGTTTTCTTTTGTTTTTGCTTTTCCTTTACCAACACAGAACTGCTACAGAAAGTAAAGGAAATCGAGAAGAAACAAGAAAGAATGGTCAGAAAGATGAATATCCCAAGAGGAGAATTACAAATTGGAGATTCTAGAATCAAGATAGTGCGAGAATTGAAATACATGAGAAGATTCTTAACAGAAGACAAAAAATATGATACCGAAATCCGAAGTCGTATTGAAATAGCGAAAGATGCCTTCCAGATTCAGTTCGGAAATTTCGTTAAAAACTGTGTGAAACTGGTCCAAGTAATTGCTTTCCTAACTGACAAAGACTCTCCGTGATAGCAGTAACCACGTTCACAAACGTACTGATTATTCTTGCTCGCGTGGTGTTTTGTATACCGAGCTGATCTCGCAAAAAAAAAAAAAAAATTATATACGCTCAATCACTCTTGCCAATTCTGCTAGCTTCGAGACCGTGTCTTTCTTCAAGTAAGGTGGCAAGGCCGTCATATTTCTTTCCTTACTCGTTTTTGCACGCCAGGCATATACGTGCTCGCTTTGCTACACAAGGTAAGTCATCTTCTCTTCCACAAAAGTAATGATTGATTAATTGATTTGTTTAATGGCATATCAACTCCTTTGTGGGTCATTTAATGCTGAAATTTAATTTTCTCAGGAGCTCTGAAGAAATAAAAATTTGATATCTGTTATTCTGCTTTCACAATTGAATACATGGTAGATGATACTCAGCTTTTGTCCATATACATGTTTGCGTGGACATCATTACTAGAGGTGGTGATATGTATCTTTTATATTATAGTTTTGTTGAAGTTATATTTCGGTATACAGTTTGATTACTTTAGGAAATAATGTTTAGCAGCATATAAACCTTTGTGAGGTATGAGATGTCGACATCTAAATATTTTGTACGTAATTTTATGCTTTCTTGTACAGGCTTTTATACTTTCCCTGTCTTTTAGATATATATTTTGTAGATCATAAATTGTATTGTTGGTAATTTTACTATAAAAATTCACTGTTGATTTTGTTTGGGGGTTTACTATTTGTCCATAGTTTGGACCCTAAAAGGTGCTGCCAAACCGAGTCAGGTGGGAAGTGAACTAATTAAGAGGTGGTTTCACGCTCCTCAAAACCTCCAATCTCCCGATCAGAGGGTTGCTGCCAGATGTAGTTTATCGTCATACCTAGGACGAATTAAAAACAGAGAGTACTAATCTGTTATGTAATATAAGTCCTCCTATATGGTAGTGAATGTTGCATACTGTATTCAGAGATGTAAAAGTGACTTGAGGCAATAGATATGTGGTTCTACAGAAGGATAGTGAGAATATCATGGATTTAACATGAGTAAAGAGAAAGTTTAAATGAAAAACGGAAACAAAAATAACACCCTTAGAATCAGAAAGAGGCATTGAAATGTCTAGAGCATATAATAAGGAAAGAGTGCTTGGCGAATTTATTACTCACGGGATATACCGAGGGCAAAAGAAACTGAGAAAAGCAGCGAGTAACCTATATAACCAACTTGTGTAACTAGATGGCTGAACAGGGAGTAGGAGAGATAGCGAAAAGATAAAATTTACTAAGAGCTAAAAAGAATAGACGATTATGGAGCACCATGATTGTCCACGTCCTGAAGGGACACGATATATAGAAGAACAAGTTTCATCGATGTTAGCTTAGATTGGTGTTGAAAGATTGCCCCACCTTTTCTACCCTGGACTTGGTACTTTCTGGTAGACACTGTGTTCTAATTGAAAACTGTAAGCATAATAAATATAAAGCTAAAATGACAATGTTAAAAAAAAGAAACAGAGTTAGATTTCCCGGCAGTCTTCCATAGCGTGAAATGTGTCTACTGTTTCTTTGTTTCTGGGAAACTTTTCGCGTACCGGCAAACGATACGCGTACCACACATTGAGTAGCATAATTGTTTTTAACACTGAAACTGGGAAATCGAAAATATTATTTTTTAAAAAATGTACCTCTCGACTGGAATCTAAGTTACATTTATCTGGAAAAATAACCTTTAAGCTAAGCGTACTTTAACGCTTAGGCATGAAAAACTGAATTCAAATCAAGGCTTGATTGGGCATCTTTTTTAAAGAAATATCCAATACCCGTCAGAACATGTTGAAGACACTAACCGCTAGCATTATTTTCGTACCGGGTACGACAACAAAATAATTTTAACGTCATTAATGTATTGCGGAAACAAAACAAAAAAAAAACTAATACTTAATATCAGGAAGAGACACTTGAGATTTCTGGAGCGCATAATGAGGAAGCAGGGCCTGTAAAATCTGATACTCACGGAGCAGATAGAGGAAAAGAGGGAGAGAAGAACACATCTCCTGTGTGGCAGTGATTGCTGGACAATCTCTTCAAAGATGAAGAAGAGACTTGAAGCAAAAGAAATGTGTTTCCATGGAAGGATTCTGAGAATATCATGGGACAAAAATGCATGCAAGGACGCATTTTTAGAAAAAAATGGAAACAATAAGGACATTTATACTTAACGTAGAGATAGCTCATGTGTCTAGGGCAGATAATGAGGAAAGAGGGCTTGGAAAATCTGATACTCACAGGACATATTGCAAACAAAAGAGGCAGAGGAAAACAACGGACAACAGATCTACAGTGCTTGAGTAAAACAGGGCGTAGCATAGAAGATAAAGTTTATTAAGAGCTACAAGGAATAGGAAGTTGTGTAGAGCCATAATCGTTTAGGATCTGAAAGTGCACGACACACAAAGAAGTGATTTTCTTAAAACTGACATTAATTGCTATTACTACATAGCCACAAGAAATAATGTCGAATTAAACTAGGCTTTTTTAAAAATCGTTTCCCCCACCAAGCAAGTCGATTAAATCACAAACACCCAAATAATTACTAAGAGAGAAGGAACAGGATTTAAGATGAAAGAAGATGACGACTGATGTTGCCTTTAATTCTTTTAAAATCTTAGATTATCAGAAAACAACAAGTAGGAAGAGAGTCCAGATGCGTCATGTTCAAGAGGAAAAAACTGTCCGCCCTGGGTATGACGATAAATTATGTCCAACAGCAAGGCCTCTGATCAACAGGCTTTGAGGAGCGTGGAGCCACCTCTTAATTGCTGGTGTTCCCAGGTCCACCCTGACCCGGGGTGGTAGCACCTGTTAGGGTCCCAACTATGGGAAAATATTTAACCCTGGAGTCAAAACAAAATGAAAGTGTAAAAATATGTTTTAATACCAACAATACATTTTTGGAAAAAAATATTACCAACAATAATTTTTTAAAGAACAAATTATTATCAGCAATACATTATTACCAGCAATACATTTTAAAGAAAAAAAATTTTACCAGCTATATATTTTTTGAAAAATAAAAATTTTACCAGCAATATAATTTTTGGAAAAGAAAATATTACCAGCAATATATTTTTTGAAAAGTAAAAATTTTACCAGCAATATATTTTTGAAAAAAAATATTACCAGCAATATATTTTGGAAGAAAAAAATATTACCAGCAATATTTTTTTTGTAGAAAAAAATATTACTAGCAATATATTTTTGTAGAAAAAAATATTACCAGCAATATATTTTGGAAGAAAAAAATATTTCCAGCAATATATTTTGGAAGAAAAAAATATTACCAGCAATATATTTTGGAAGAAAAAAATATTACCAGTAATATATTTTGGAAGAAAAAAATATTACCAGCAATATATTTTGGAAGAAAAAATATTAGCAGCAATACATTTTTGAAAAAATATTACCAGCAATAAAAATCTTGTCGGCATTAAATAACCCACTGATATGCCGTAAAACAAAACCAAAACCAAAAACTAGCATAAAAACAATTAACAGCCAATTTCTTAAGGTTTCAGTCGGTGAAAGCTCACAGTAGAATTACGATGAAAATAATTACCGAAAAGGCAACCTACATTAAGAACGGTGGTAAAGTGACTTTAAACGAGAAAATATACTCTATATGTCTTTGTCATTAGGCGCGAGTGAAAGAAAGAATGAATGAAAAAGAAATGTCCTCCTCGTCACGATTTCAAAGACCAACTCGAATTATGTAGATTGTATAAAAACAATAAAAACAGTAATTCCTTCAAATTCCCGTAATTCCTTCATATGTCTCCAGTTTTCTTTTTGAGTTCTCTGATTCCACATTTATTCCATTTCAAATGTTTTTGCCTCTCATAATCAAATCTCTCATTTCACTTCCACGTTTATTCGCCGAGTTTTTACTTATCCTCTCCTCCCCCAACATCATCCATTTTCTTAATCCATTTTAAAGTTGTAAATTTACAGCACAAGGTAACTTTATATTTTGTTTCAATTTCTTTTGTACTGCTGATATTTGGCATTTGTATAAGTATGCAATGTTTCTGCTTGTGTGTGGGGGGGGGTGCACTTTTACTAACGATAACACCGAGAAAACTATTATCAGGCACCAGTTTTTGTTCACTTCACACGAATGCTTTTAATATAGGCAGGAAAGCGCCTTTCTCCCTCGCCTGTGTGATAGAGAGAAAAGGAACGTAGTGTTGCTTCCGTCGTCGAAAGGCAAGAGAGCGAACTTTTGAAAAATCACACCTCCTGGTAATCTAAACCGGGGGCGGTAATCCTATTTAACCAGAAATTCATCATCATCATCATCATCATCATCATCATCATAATAATAATAATAATAATGATAATAATCATCATCATCATTATATTTCGATTTCTGCTATGGTCACAAATCCTACCAAGGCTGGTAGTGGTGTGTTATTATGGCTACATTTTATGATTTCTTTTTCTAACTCCTATAACATCACTAGCGTTACAGGAGTTCTTCTCAGTATGTGGGATGTACTTATCAAGGCAATTTTTGTTGTATTTCTGTCAAGCTGTGATTTCCTGTGATTTCTTTAATTTGTTGTTGTGTTCCTTTTTTATCATTCCAAGCGCACCTACTATGACTGGTAGTATTCTTCTTTGCAATACCCACATTTTTTTCATTTCGATTTCCAGGTCTTTATACTTCGATAGTTTTTCCAATATCCTTGGTTGCTATATTACAGTCAGCTGGCCAAGCCATGTCAATTAGTAGGCAAGTTTTTGCTATTCGATTTTTGACAATTATGTCCGGCCTTTTTTAATCAATCTTCCTGTATAAAGATGGTGTAATCACATAGAATTGTGATCTTTTCTATTTCTGTAACTGGTGCTGGATGATGTTCATACCACTGTTTCTTAACAACTTTTCTAATGTGCTTGCAGTGTAAAATATTACCCCCACTCTATCGTGACTATTTCTATATTCATTTGGTGCAAATACAGAATATCTTGAGATTAGAGTGTCTATGATTTCCTGATACTTGTCACAAAATATGCATTTTGGATCCACCCTTATTTACACCGAGGTACCTATAAGCTTCTTCTTGCTCTAAATCCTTGATTGTTACCCAGGGTCTAAGCTAATAGACGAGGTTTGTTGTAGTAATCCTCGTAATACTGTGGTTTTAGCACATTTATCCAAACCGAATTCCATTCCAATATCATCACTGAAACATTTTACTGTTTTCAGGATACCTTCCAGCTCGCTGTCATTCCTAGCATACAACTTTAAGTTATTCATGAAAATAGATGCCTTTTTTTCTTTTGAGATATAGCTATATTAAGGATATACAGAAGTGTAAGGGACACAAAGAATCAATTGGAAATATCCCTCTGTTGATGTTTATTTCACCAGACTTATAAATTCCATTGAGATGAAGTGTTGTTTTCCATACCGACATTCTTTGTTTGATGAAACTGATGATAATATTTTTCTTAGAAAGACTACGATATCCCATCCTGCGTAAGACGATAAACTACGTCCAACAACAAGGCCTCTGATCAGGAGGTTTTGAGGAGCATGGGACCACCTCTTAATTGCCGGTGTTCCCAGGTCCACCCTGACCCGGGGTGGTAGCACCTGTTAGGGTCCCAGCTATGGGCAAATAGTTAACTACGAAAGTGAGGTAAAAAGCATTATAAAATATTACCAGCAATACGTTTTTGAAAAAATAATATTACCAAATATTAACATATTACCAAAATATTAACAGAAAAAGATTTTTGACAAAACAAAAAAAAGGTGTCAGCATTAAATGACCCATTGAGGTTGATATGTCGTAAAACAAAACAAACCAAACTACGATATTAGTTGTAGATAACGCTAAGTATTTTCGAAGAATTCAGTAAATAAATATCTGAATATATAGATGGACGAACAAATGACTGTCATTTTTTTCTAAATACTGTTTGTTGATATATAAATTATACAAAATTATATATCGTTATTGTTGTGGATTCCGAGATGAAATTCTCCAATGAATGACAAACGCAAGAATAAAATATAAGGAATAAAATTTATTTACACAATAATACAAAGGGTAATCCTATTAGTAAATCAAGGAACGCGGTTACTAGCAATAATATATAGATATATATACAGTCTCGAAGTAGGACTTCCTTAAAGTCTACGTGCTTGTAACTGTGACTTCTACAAGCGGTTACCTCACACTATTACTCTACCTCCAACTCAGTCTCAGTCTTCTTACTATCTCTACTCACTCTCTATTCTCTGACTGACTGGGTATTTAACGGCAGCAGTCCAAGTAACACTCTGGTCGAGTCCACTTATATGAAAAAGGGGTGGACCCCCAGTTATAACATATATATATATATATATATATATATATATATATATATATATATATATATATATATATATATATTTTATTGCAAACAAAATAAATTAAAAAAAAATCGTGTATATTTTTAAGCATACTTTTTTAAGCGTTTCACCCCAAGCAAGGCGGGAAGCAAGGGGTTACAGAGAATTTGTGTGAGAGCAAATAGGAGTGATAGAGGAAAGAATGAAGAGGAGGATAGGGGATAGATCAAGGCATATGGAGATGTTGATTGACATTACATTTGAATAGTTGGAGATTATAGCTATCAGGGAAACAGGGAAACAGGAAGAGGCGAGGGAGTTCCACAGACGAGAGGTGCGAGATATGAAGCTATTGGAGTAGAAGAGACGGCTACATTTAACAATTTCGACAGTGAAAGGTTGAGAGCGAGATGCCAGCCGAGAACGCTTAAATTTATGAAGTCTGGGAACCAGCGAAAGTAGCTCATCGGGGCAGTTACCATGAAAGTATTTGTAAAAAAAGACATTGGGAGGCGACGGCAGACCACATAATATCACTGTTTTCTTTAAACTAATCAATGAGTAAAATATTATTTATTTTTCAAATTGGCAGGTATGTTAATCTTATAATTAATCTTATAATCATAAAAACTAGTAAATGTTATTATTATTATTATTATTATTTCCTTTGATTGCTGGCGTTTACACATTTCTTTCCGGGTCCCGCCCAGGGATCTAAGGTTAGAAATGTCATCATGACATTTTCCACTGACAAAAAAATATTACATAGATAAAGTCCTTCGTAAAGTGTGGGCTGTACTTGTCAGAACAATTTTTTGTATCTCTTTGAGGCATGGACTTCCAGGAATCCCTTCAATTAGTCTACTGGAATCTTTTCCAACCAATCTTAGGCCTCCAACTACAACAGGGATTGTTGATTTTCCCATGTGCCACATTTTTGACATTTCTATTTCAAGGTCCTTGTATTTTGACAGCTTTTTGAATATCTTCAAAGATACATTGCAGTCTGCAGGGACTGCCATATCAATAAAGAGGCACCGTTTTTGTTTGTGGTCTTTAATAATAATGTCTGGGCGGTTAGCTTTGATTGTTCTGTCAGTGTGTATTGCGTTGTCCCATAGAATTGCAACAAGTCCTATCTCCGAAACCGGGCCTGGGTGGTGTTCATACAAGTTTCTTTCAGTTTCCTTCCCGTAGAAGTTGCAGTCATTTCCAGTGCAGATATTGGCCCACTCTGTTAGGCCGGGTTTTATACTCAGTGGGTGCCAATATAGTGCAACCTGATACAAGAAGATCAATTGTTTCTGGATATTTATCACAGAATCTGCATTTTGGGTTAACACAATGCTGCTTGTTAATTCCTAGTTAACAAGCATTGGTCCTGTTCAGCAAGGATAAAACCTTCAGTTTCAGCTTTCAACCCTGCACTACGTAGCCACTGATGGGTACGGGTTTTGTCTACGTCAGCTTGTTTGGTAATGGCAGAGTATTGGCCATGAAGCGGTTTGTCTTGCCATTGTTTCTGTTATTATTATTATTATTATTATTATTATTATTATTATTATTATTTAATTTCACACCAGTGATACGTTATGGTTCGTATAAATTCTAAACTTTATTAACCGAATGTTAACTTTTTTCTTTTTCCATTAAATTTTTTGAGAATTAATTTCGTTAAAAGAACTAATGATAGTAGCAACAACAATAATATTTTTTTAATTAATTAGCAACTAATCTGATTAACAGGAGCAGTAGCAACAACAGTAAAAAAAAAAAAAATTTCAGAATTATAAACATATAAGGTATTATTAAAGCATAATACTCTAGGTTAATAAAGTTTTGTTTCACGGAATAGCTTCTTTTTCCGACGTCTTTCTTTTCAAATTCCAGTTGCGTCTCTGTCTCTTGGTAACCCATCTAGAAGAAGGAAATCTCCAAACAACAACCCGCAACTCAATGTGTTAATCGTGCCAGGAGGGGGATGGCTGATGCATTGTGAGATCGCCAACGATCCCCTACAGGCTTCGGAACCCTGTCTGTAAAAGACCGTTACCCAATATACCAGAGAATTTTGAACCCGTGGTAACAATATGAGAAGTAAAAGTCAAACCAAAAATTACAGTATGGCTCTTCCAGTGGATAAACAAAGAGCCAGCCCCTCAAGATCGAACCTACGTGAGATCGAAAAATCTGCCATAGGGGCAAACTCCTACAAAAATAATGAATCTACAGACGTACACAACCGGGATAATCTAAATGATGACTCTGCAAATTCTCCAACTAGATCCACAACCATTCATTTAAAGAAAGAAAAAGGCGTAAAAACTCGATATTACTGCGTTCTATAAAGCGTTACACAAATCTCAGAAAAACATCACTCTCCAAACATGAAAATGTTGGACAAGCAATTAGAAAGTACATTGACGAAAATAAAGTAGCCAATGTAAGAAGGTATATCATGAGAAATAAGCGATTAACAGATGTTAAAATTAAAGAAATAAAAAGAACTGCAACCAGAACGGGTGAACCCCCAAGAACATGAAAAGGAACCAGTAATGAGCATAAAGGTACTAACATCACGCAAACCACAGATCATAATGAAGAAACTGAGATACAGACGAATCACTGTGAAGATAATGCTGAAAGTTTAGAAAAGTTGAAGAGGTGTGATTGCTCACAAGCCTACAATAAAACGAGTCCAAAATATATGGAACTTTAATTATTTTAAAGAAAATAAGAATAACATATAAGAAGCCAGGGAAACAATCATGAGACATATGTCAGACAAAAAATATTGAAATGGAGGAACGAGAACAACTCCCCAAATAACAACCAATAAAGCAGAACCTCAAAACTATTAGACCCTACATTGCAACACTTGAATTAATTCTGGATAAAGTAGACCCACAAATAAGATTCAATGAAGCAATATATGCATCAGCAATAGCAGAAACTAAAAATTAAACATCAAAGTAAAAAAAAGTCAGTCTAACAGACATGGAGATCCATCTTGGAAAAGAAAAATAGAGAAAGAAATTGAACAGAAGTGAATTATCAGGTCTTCGATGAACTGGCAAGAGAAACAAAGGAACAAGCAGAAAAGTCAAAAGAAAATACAAAATTAGAAATGAAAATGAAATGAAATCCTAACAGCTAACGAAAAAATATAAAGCAAACAATAATACAACTGAAGACTCAAAGAATCAGACGTTATGAGAAAAGATCAAAATTCTACAGACAGAACAAAATCTTTTACAGAGAAATAAGCAAAACAAGAAATTGAAGTGCCTCCCCCCACCCCGAAACAATGGAAGAGGTTGTACAGTTCATGGAAAAAAATATGGATTTGCTCTAAAGAACATAACAAAGAAGCAGATTAGATCACGCAAGACGTAGAAAGGACGAAAAATAAACCTGAACAAACATAGGCGGGAATCACAGAAGAAACTGTTGTATGTGCCCTGAAAAAAATCACACAACTCGAAATATCCAGGAATAAATAAAATTTCTAATTTTTGCCTCTATTATCTAAATACAGCACACACACACACACACACACACACACACACACACACACACACACACACACACACACACACACACAAACTAGCCAAATAACTTTAAGAAATGATTAATGATCCCTACTAAAATTCCGGCATCGGTAACCAAAGTAATTACATTCCTTCTACCCAAGAATGGTGACACAAATATAAAAAAAACTACAGACCAATTACATGCCTTCCCACTACTTAGAAACGCGATAGTGTAATGGGTTATTCTTCTTTCCCATGAATTTGGGTGTGACCTATGTATGACAAAGGGTCATCACAGTCTCATGTTGAAGCTGTCAGTGGTTAGAAATAATGACTCTCTTGAGCGACAGTATAAATCTTTACTGAAATTTAAAGATCTTTCTTTTAGTATAGTGTGTAACGGTAATTACCAGTTCGCGACGGCGTTTCGTGGCGGCGTTGACTAATTTGTTGAGCTTGAAAAAGGATATTTTGTTGTGTTTTGGGAATATATATATATATATATATATATATATATATATATATATATGTGTGTGTGTGTGTGTGTGATGGATATATTATTGTTATTATATAAGCTTTCTCTTTAATAGGAGATAGTGTAGTGTAATGATCGTTTTGTATTGTGTGCGATCTGAGACCTGGAACGAAGGGGAAACGCGACACGTCTTGTCACTACAGCATTCTGGAGAGAGAGAGAGAGAGAGAGAAAGAAAGAGCGAGAGAGAGAAAAAGAAAAAAGAGAAATGGAGGGAGAGAGAGAAGAATAAAGAGAGAGAGTGTGTATACTTGTTTTCTCTCTTTCATTTATACTGCTTTATACAGCACGACAGAGCGGGAGTTAGAAATTCACTGACAAGCAAAGTCTGGAGAGTCATCCCACAATTGTCTTAGCTCAATGTTAGAATTCTTTTCATATTTTCCTTTTAGCGAAAAATCCTCTAAAGTTTATTTTTTATTTTTTTATTTGGTGAGGGGTGCTTCCGCTTCTAATAAACATGATTTCATTCCAGAGTAAATAATCACACATATCGCCTCACAAGCATTTTTTACACACAGGCATTCTTCTTGCATAAATCTGACTTTTATGTTGTAAATGCTGCTGACGTCACACGTATTCGTATTCTGATTGGACAGTCAACTTTTTGCGTTGTAGACATTTATTTATTATATTTGGAATTCATTATAACACTAACTTCCCAGATTGTTTTTTATAAAAAAAAACAAGTCTCTTTCAGCAGACGTTGCTTCTGCTTTCTCAGATTTTACCACTCTTCCTTCCTACCATTTATTATATCATTTCTTCTTGTAATGTAAAATGTATCTCTTTCTTTTTTTCCTTTTTCCGTTACCCTTTTTCTTCTTCTTGTATTTTCCTTTTTTGTCCTTAGTTTTTTCTTCTATTCTCGTTCTTTTTCGCTTTTGCCCAAATTTTTCTTCTTTTTTGTCGTTCTTCTTCTTCATCTTCTTCTTCTTCATCTTCATCTTCTTCTTCTTCATCTTCTTCTTCTTCATCTTCTTCATCTTCATCTTCTTCTTCTTCATCTTCTTCTTCTTCATCTTCTTCTTCTTCATCTTCTTCTTCTTTTTCTTCTTCTTCTTCTTCTTCTTCTTCTTATTATTATTATTATTATTATTATTATTATTACATTCTCGTTCAAATTTTTCTTCTTGCGTTCGCTTTTTTTTCTACTTATTCTTGTTTTTTCCATCTCCTTCTTTTTATCCAATTCTTATTCTTTTCCCATACACCTTCTCCCTTCCCTGGCTTTTTCACTTCGTATTCTCATTCTTTGATGTTCTAATTGCTACTACAAATCTGACTATTTCTACTAATACCTGTTACTGCATTTAGTGCCGACATACAATAAACTCGAAAGCTACACCACCTGTGTCTTAAATATGACACAACCGACAGCACTTTAATGACGTCAGCGTTTCAGATCGAGGCTTAGAAAAGAGAATGCAATCATTTCTATGTTTTAGACATGACAACTTGTTTATAAAATCAAATTAGTTTTTGTTGATCCTATTTCCAGTCCACTGGTTTACTCCTTGTCTTAAATTCCTTGGCAACAATTATTTTTCATATCATTTATTTGAAAAAAAAAACAAACCATTTAAAAGAAATATCCTATAATATTGAACCGGTAAGAAAGTTCTTGCAGGAGTCGTTAAGTCTTTTGTATTCTGACCAAGTGTCACGGCTTTGAATCACGACCGATTAAACAGGGAGGTGACTTTTTGATAGATGGGTCTGAAATGAAGCCATCAGGCAACACCGTTTGGAATTAGCTGAAAGCAACACATGTCTTCCCAAGACTTGTTAGGGAAACTGTTCAGGAGCCGTATATGGTTATGCTAGCACGAACTAACAAGTCGCCGTAACAGAGGGTTTGAGAGTACTGGCCTTGTTTAAAATGGCGATCACACCAGATTATGCGTTCTCTCTTCTAAGATCTAAGAATAAATTTATTCTAAAGGCACGTCTTCTTTCACTTTATTCTAAAGGCATTTTATCTAATTTTAGTGTAGATTTTTCTTTTATTTAATCTTCTTATTGGTTGATTATATCATATGGTAGATAATGAATATTAAAACATTTTCAATATAGATAAGAATTATTTAATATAGATTTAACTTTAAATATGTTGATTTAAATGTAGATGTTAAATTAGATTCTTCATTCTTAGATAATTATAATCATTTCAGTATATTTTCAATTTTTATATTTTTCTTATTATTTTATCTGATATATTGTTTATTTTAATACACCTTTAATTCTGAATTAACTCTCTTTCATATAAATCTGTTTATCTCTGTATTTAATATAATATTTTTATTAATAGATTTATGAAAGGTTCCTGAACTGCCTTCTGTCTGGTACTGGGTAGAAAATATATAGGTCATTTCTTCTCTCTTTTTTCACCTTATTTTCTCTTTCGTTCTTCCCTAACCACCATTCATATGTCGACATACACTACTTCCTTGTTTTTAATTTTTAATTGCTCTCTTTTTTTATCCATTTTCTTCGCTTCTTTCCTTCTTCTGTTTGGCCTGCTTTATTTCAATATTTTATCATCCATTGACTGGTTTGAAAATCCTTGTAAATTTTATGTCAATTCACAAGGTAAAAATGCTCATTAATCTAATGTAATCGTAATTCCTATTGTATAATATATATATATATATATATATATATATATGGAGAAATATAGTCTTGTTATGCTATATTTATAAGATAAAGTGCTCAATATCAGAGATAGAGCGTGTGTAAATATAAAAGTGAACATTGAAGTCAACACTTAGCGGCGACAAGCTGTTTATATAGTTAGTCAGGCCACGTGTGTTTTTTTTTTCTCGGCTACTTATATATACGGGTCTACCCACAATGCACCACTTACCCGTATATATAAATAGCCGAGGAAAAAAAAACAACACACGTGGTCTGACGATTGCGCCTAGCACGAAACAGCCTGTTGTCTCTAAGTGTTGGCTTCAATGTTCACTTATATATATATATATATATATATATGTATATGTATATGTATATGTATATATGTATATGTATATATATATATATGTATATATATATATATATATGTATATGTATATATGTATATATATATATATATATATATATATATATATATATATATATATGTATGTATATATATATGTATATATATATATATATATATATGTATATATATATGTATATATATATATATATATATATATGTATATATATATATATGTATGTATATATATATGTATATATATATATATGTATATATATGTATATATATATATATATATATATATATATATATATATGTATATATATATATGTATACATATATACATATATATATACACATATATATATGTATATATATATATATATATATGTATATATATATATATGCATATATATATATATATATATATATATATATATATATATATATATATGTATATATATATATATATATATATATATATATATATATGTATATATATATATATATATATGTATATATATATATATATATGTATGTATATATATATATGTATATATATATATGTATGTATATATATATATATATATATGTATATATATATATATGTATATATATATATATATATATATATATATATATATATGTATATATATATGTATGTATATGTATATATATGTATATATGTATGTATATATATATATATATATATATATATATATATATATATATATGTATATATATATATATATATATATATATATATATAGCTGATGTCTGCAAAATGAGTGGCTGTTGAGGTTGGGGTTGATTTTATGTAAAGGCATATCAACATCTGTGGGTCATTTAATGCCGAAATTTAAATATTTAGAACATGCTATCAACTACAGATAAAATGTCTTGTTGGTCATTTTTCTATAAAATATATTGTTGTTAATACTACTATAAATATATATTATTGTTATTCCGACTATAATTATGTATTTTGGGGATTTTTCAATATAAATATTTATTGTTGGTAATTTTACGATAAATTTGCATTCCTGGTAATTTTACCATAAAATGCATATTTATACCTTCATAGTTTTTGGTTTTTGTTTGGGGTTTCACTATTTTCTCATAGCTGAGACCCTGGCAGGTGCTGTCACCCCGAGTCGGGGTGAACCTGGAAACAACAATGATAAGAGATGGTTCTCCGCTCCTCAAAACTGGATAAATTTTAACCTTGTACCCAGGAATATTAATGAGCATTCCTGATGTTGTGGTTGTTGTTTTATGTCTTCCTTTTATTTTTCTTGTCCGAACGTAAGAAATACTGGAAAAAAAAACCTAAAATATCTTTTAGTGCACGTAAAGTTTGAAGAATATATTGCCATTTCTGCATCTTTTAAGATAAGAATGTTTGCCAAGAATTGATAGCAGTTCTTTTAAATTCTTTACAAACTTCGAGTCAGGGGTGAAAATCATTTCATAATTTTTTTTTTTTTTTTTGTGATTGTTCAGATGAGATCACAGTCTCTTTTGCATAACTAGAAAACTCAATTTGATTTGCTGCTATAAAAAAAAGAATTAAAACTATTAAAAAGCCTATCCTATTCGAAACAAATACTTAATGATTTTTATCTGTGTCCATTCTTTTTACTCCATGGACTGAAGTCTTCAATTTAATAATGAATCATGCATTTTTTTCTGCGAGTTATTCGGTTACTATATTTCAAATCAACGACAGGCATGTTATGGGTCTATAATTATTTGTAATTTTTGCGATTGCTTCTTTTATGAAATATTGTTTCTTTTATCAGGGAGTTTTGTTTTCACCAGACATTTGTATAGTTGTATTATTGTAAATGTTGAACTAAAACACATAAATATCACGATGGGCAGATACTTTTAATTTAACTTTTTCTCTGGGAGTTCATTAGGTTGATATATATATATATATATATATATATATATATATATATATATATATATATATATATATATATATACGGTGTTCCAAAATAATGTATACACTCTTTAAATATTAATAGTTAATAATATATTACAGTGATGTGAAAACCTATATGGATAAAAAATATGCAAAACAGATGGATTGGAAGAAGAGGGAAAGTTGAATACCCACCTAGATCACCAGATTTGACACCCTTGGATTTCTTTTTGTGAGTGTTTCTAAAAGAGAAAGTTTACAGCAGGAAACCTGAAACCATTGCTGAAATGAGAGTAGTAATTAAAGAATAATGTGCTAAAATACCAAAGGAAATGATACTGGACGTTTGTAGGTCGATTTCTTCAAGATATGAAAAGTGTATTGAACAGAACGGCAACCAGTTTGAGCACTTGATGTAAACACATCATTATATGAACATTCTGCCATTGCCCCAAGTAACTTTTATCTTATTAAAGTTAATTTTCTATGTATTTTGTATATTTTACTCTCAAATTCTTTAAATGCGTATTCTTTCTCTTGTATTAATCTTATTTACAAGTCAAAATATATAAATTATAACGATTCAAAAAGTGTATACATTATTTTGGGACATCCTATATATATATATATATATATATATATATATATATATATATATATGAGGAGGAACGGTGGGTAATAATTGATTGCCGAGTTCGTGCTAATACCCTTGAGAAAGGTATGAATCCTCTTCTCCCTCCAGCTATAGGTAAAATAGCAGGACAGACTGGGTTCTATAGCCTTGGATGGCAACTGGTCTAGGAGAAGGACAACACTGAATTCAAATCCTGCGGAGGGTCGTTTTGGGACCTTGTGGCACGTAGTGCACCTGTAGTGCCCTTCAGAAAGTGTGGATGGTCCTGCACGAAACCTTCACCATTATAATCAAATCTCATGTGCTGGTGCCGGGCTGTCGGTTTCCTAGGAACTGATCTGCTTGACTCTCATAATAATGAAAGCGGTGTTCTTAGGAGAATTAGTAGAGATAATTCCAATAAGAATATTAAGATCCAGATCGGGCCAAAAATGAAATACCGTTGTCTTATTTGGGCGGAAGCTGCCCAGACGTCACTCTTTGGCCTTGAAAAGAGTAGAAAAGCGATTGTCGCTGCTCTAACGCTATTTCCATGGAAAGTGCTTGGACGAACTACATTCCCTGCCAAAGCAAACTTTCACGGCAAGAACACGCCTTGTCACTTACATAGCAGCAAACTACCCACATCCCCTCCGTATTCCGTCGGTGAGAAGTAAGTTACACTCAAGGAGCTTCTTCCAGCGAACCTGTGGAACCGACTTCCACCAGGATGTTTTTTTTTTCCTATTACTACAATCTGAACCTGTTTCAGGCCAGGGCGAACAGTTATCTCCAACTTCTATACACAAAATGGCCTCCTAATGTAACCCACTGCTTGGTGTGGCCCCTGAGCCTTGTAAAGGTTGAACCTTATTGTAAAAAAAGAAAACACACAGATACACACAAACACGCACGCACACGCACACGCAAGCACACACACACACATATATATATATATATATAGATATATGGAGAGAGAGGGAGAGAGGGGGAGAGAATTAATAGAAATATAAAGTTTATCTCTTAGGTGGTTGGTTTTACCTTCAGCATCACGATTCTAGACTTTTGTAGACAGAACCTACAGCAATCACTCCGTCCACTCCTCAGGGGATATCAACAAATGACTCGTGTGAGCATGTCTGTGTGTGTGTATTTGTGTGTGTGCGTTTGTACACACAGACATATATATATATATATATATATATATATATATATATATATATATATATATATATATATATATATACACACACACACATATATATATATATATATATATATATATATATATAAATCAAATTTTATTAAAAATATTTTACATTGCGACTCGGAAATTTCTATGTTTCGAGACTTATTTTTATCTCATCATCAGACAATGTTTGGTACCTATGGTGAAAATGATTTACATTTGAAAATAGAAAACAATATGTTTTCTTATTAAAGAGTTAATATGGAGTGGGGAAACCAGATTTTTAGATCTCATGGGTGTGTCTCTTTTAACTAATCAGAAGGAAAATCAACGCTAAATTTGAAAAGTTAAAAATATAGGTTAGATATTGGGCGATGTGTGGTATTCATACATGTCTCGGGGAACTGTCACATTAACGACTCGTCACTTTACATCCGGCAAAAATTATACATTTAAGTTACGAAGAAATATTCTTGGAAATATGTATATCTCTGACAATTTTCGTTTTTGTATTTTTTTTAAATTTTTAACATGTATTTTAGAACTATCTTAAAGGCACCTTTGGTATGATTAAAATATTTTTACATAGTTTTGAAGCAAAATACAATTCATATTTTATTCATTGTCTTTTTAATACTAAGCAATATAAAATTAAATACCAAAGAATTAAATTAATATTGCATGTACCATAATATATAATAGAATTATGGATATATAACTGTAATACATAGACTTTTCTGAAAATACGTTAACTATATTTTAAGGTGAACATTTTACAATGTCTACATATGACTATAAGCTATTTTCGCTGATTTAATAGATTATCATTTTTAAGAAACTTAATAATGTATAGATTTTCATGTAGACACAAGGTGCATGGGCCATTTAAGGACTTATTTTTTAAATATTTCCCATTTTACTGTGAGGGTTTTATTGACTGCTTTTAAATACCCAAAATATTTAGATAGGGATGTTCGGTTACGGTATCAATGTTAATGTAAATGTATCGGTGGGGGCGGGTTAATTGAAATGTACATTAGTTTTTATTTTTTATCCAGCCTCATATATGCTTAAGAGGAATTTTCTAATGTGTAATCAAGGACTCAAGAATCGGATTTCTACTTTAAAATGTTCTTTGGATCCGGAAATATCATAATTGCTAATTTTTCCTGTTGGCAGATGTTGGAAATATTGTGGTTGTTGTAAGGATTTCCCCTTTTTTTTTTAAATTTTTCACCTATATATAAAAGGCACGGTGGAGTAGTGGATAGCGGCTCGGAATCCAGTCGAATCCATTACATTCACTTACGTGCAGATACCCTTGGGAAAGGTGTGAATCCTCTTCTTCTCCCTACACCTATGGGTAAATAGCAGGACTGACTGGGTTCTATAGGCTTGGATGCCAAATGGTCTAGAAGAAGCCCAACTCTGAATTCAAAGCCTGCGGAGAACTTGGGATAAAGTGCGACAGTCTGTCTCATGCTAGATGCAATCGTCAGGCCACCATACGTCAATATTCACTTTTATATATATAAGGGAATTAAGCTTATCAGACAATATTTCAACCTAGAGCTAAAGATATCAATTAGAAAAGCTTCAATTCAATTCATAAGAGTATTGGCAAGTGGGAGAGGAGTTTCAGCTATGACAGTCCAACGAGCAGTGAAAAAAGACGTAAAAATGAAATCCTACGTCAAAACTATGCGGCACATTGTTACTAGAGGACAGAAAGTTAGATAGTTAGAGAGGGCGAAGATAATCTTCAATAAATTGCAAAATCACCCTGGAATAATAAATAAAGCATTAAAAATAAATCCATTAATTTATTACACACACACACATGCACGCACACACACACACACACACACAGATAGATAGATAGATAGATAGATAGATAGATAGATAGATAGATAGATAGATGGTGCAACAGCATAACTGTCCATCCCACAAAATGTTTAATATCTAAAAAACACTAAACGAGTTGAGTTCTTTTTTACATGTTTTCAGATTCACCATTTGTCATAAGAATCACTGAAAAAATATTTGACTTATTCAACTTGAAAGAGAACAGGTTAAAATTGTTTTGTGTCAGCCCCACTGTCTTCCCAAATGAGCATTAGTGAGAGGAAAAAGATCATTCAGGCCTTCAGTAATAGTACCAACATTCATACTCTGGCTTCCATCTTCAAAGTCCATTCAAGAAGCATTAAGAGAATGGGGAATAATTTAATAAAAGAGGGAACAGTAGAGAGGAAAACAGGATCAAGTGATCACAACAGGAAGAGGGATCATCATTTCAACTTAGAGTCAAAGAGATCAATTAGAAAAGATCCAACCCAATCCATAAAACGTTTGGCACGTGAGAGAGGAGTTTCAGCTATGAAAGTCCAAAGAGCAGTGAAAAAAAGACTTGAAAATGAAATCGCACGTGAAAAGTTGGAAAATTATCCTGAAATAATAAATATATATTTGAACTTTATTTCAATCTTTCATGAGCTTCTGATCTTTAGCGATGATTAATTAATGATGAACATGCCATTTTTGTTTTTGATCGATTTCATCATGATTCTTCTGTGAAGCTTGGCGAGTAATTATACATTCTTATAAAGTAGAGTCAGATAGTGGTCTAAAAACCTCAGAGAATTCCAGTAAGATGTCTTTAATCATTTCTAAGATACAACATGTTAATATCCTTGGGAAAGGTATGGATCCATCTCTTCTCTCACCAGCTATGGGTAAACAGTAGGACAGAATGGGTCCATTAGCCTGGGATGGCGAGCGATCTAGTAGAGGACAACTCTGTGTTCAAACCCTGCGGAGGGTAGTTTGGAGAACTTGTGGCACCAGTTGTCTCTATTCGGCTCTTCCAAAAACTGTGATTGGTTTTGGACAAGCTTTCACTTCCGTTATAATTATAAGATATGTGCGGGTAGTCTGGCTGTTTGGTTCTAAGAACTGAAATACTTGATCTTCATACGTCGAAAGGGACGGGCGAGTTCTGTATATATATTAGTGGACGTTCTGGGTTGGATTCATATGACGCAAAAAACAGAGAAGGGTCGATAAACACTTAAATCTTAAAAGAATAGACTTGAGAAGATAGATAGATATGAATAGATTGTGATAGATAGATAGATAGATAGGAACAGATTGAGATAGATTGAGATAGATAGATAGATAGATAGATAGATAGATACGATCGATTAATAAATGACTGACAACTTGGAATCTATTTTACGTGCAGTCATTGGTGATATATCCTCAAATATGGGCAATGCTGCTTCAGATTTTAGTCCTGCTAGGGTCTTACATTGTCTTGCTAAGATGTGGCAACGTTAGGCGTTTGTAGCAGTAGTTGGTACATTAATATTTTGTTGAACTTTCAAATATACCTTAATCACCATTCGTCTTTACATTTTCTTCAAGCTTGTAGTGAATGACTTCTCTGTGTGTGGCGTCTTTTTTAGGCCTGATCTACTTCGACAAACCCGTTAGATCAAATTCCTTGGTAGCATTTCGAGAAAATTGACATAAAAGCCTTACCAACATCTCTCTTGAGTATTTCATGCATTACACGATTCTTTCCAAAGTCCCTCTTGCCATCCATACATGCATGGATACATACATACATACGTATGAACAGACTGAAATAGATAGATAAATAGATGAACAGACTGAAATAGATAGATAAATAGATGAACAGACTGAAATAGATAGATAAATAGATGAACAGACTGTGATAGATATCATAGATAGATGAACAGACTATGATAGATAGATAGATAGATATGAACAGATTGAGATAGATAGATAGATAGATAGATATGAACAGATTGAGATAGATAGATAGATAGATATGAACAGATTGAGATAGATAGATAGATAGATATGAACAGATTGAGATAGATAGATAGATAGATAGATAGATAGATATGAACAGATTTAGATAGATAGATAGATAGATAGATAGATAGATAGATAGATAGATATGAACAGCCTGAGATAGATAGATAGATAGATAGATATGAACAGCCTGAGATAGATAGATAGATAGATAGATAGATATTGAAAAGATTGCGACTATAGTTTGTTCGATTCTCACTCATGGATCAATTGTTATGGTCTTGTATCAAACTACGCGAAGCGATAGATAGATAGATAGATAGATAGATAGATAGATAGATAGATAGATAGATAGATACTCTTGTCCAAATCAGGTTTTACAAATCCAAACGCTAGCTATTTTCTCGATTTCATGTGTTGCCTTAAACTGGTATTTGTCTCGCATCACTTGTCAGGATTTCATTTAGCGTGAGATGAACTTGTTAATTTCTCGTTTCATATCTCAAGTGGCAGTTGTGAATTGCTGGACTCCCTGCCTACCTTCTGTCCTCCTTCGTCTCAAAACTTTCCTGCTCCTCCTCACAATCCTCTCCCTACAGTACTCCACAATGGTGGGGGAGATGCAGTGACATACGCGCTAAAGAATTTCAATCTGTACTCTTCACCGATATAATCGGAGTAGCATTCTGAAATTCTCAGTCCTGTTGACTGGCTCCTGTCAAGGTTGACAATGGGCATAGCAGCACTCATTAGCATAGTCACCTGAATAGTAAAGTGGTCATGATAAAGTGGTTTAATATCTCTTTCTCTTTCTCTCTCTCTCTCTTTCTCTCTTTCTCTTTTTCTTTCTTTCTTTTTTCTTTCTTTCTTTTCTCTCTCTTTTACTCTCTTTCTCCCTTCTCTCTCTTTTACTCTCTTTCTCCCTTCTCTCTCTTTTACTCTCTTTCTCCCTTCTCTCTCTTTTACTCTCTTTCTCCCTTCTCTCTCTTTTACTCTCTTTCTCCCTTCTCTCTCTTTTACTCTCTTTCTCCCTTCTCTCTCTTTTCTCTCTTCCTCTCTCTTTTCTCTTTCTTTGTCTTTCACGCTATCTCTCTCTCTCTTTCTTTGTCTTCACGCTATCTCTCTCTCTCTTTCTTTCTTTCTTTCTCTCTCTTTCTCTCTATGTCTCTCTCTTTCTCTCTTTCTCCTTTCTCTCTCTTTTATCTCTTCCTCTTTCTCTATTTTTCTCTTTCTTTCTCTTTCACGCTTTCTCTCTCTCGCTTTCATTCTCTGTCTCTCTCTCTCTTTTACTCTCTATCTCCATTCTCTGTCTTTTATCTCTTCCTCTCTCTATTTTTCTCTTTCTTTCTCTTTCACCCTTTCTCTCTCTCTCTTTCTCTCTTTCTTTCTTTCCCTCTCTCTTTTACTCTCTTTCTCCCTTCTCTCTCTTTTCTCTCTTCCTCTCTCTATTTTCTCTTTCTTTCTCGTTCACACTTTCTCACTTTCTTTCTTTCTTTCTCTTTCACTCTCTCTTTTACTCTTTTTCTTCCTTCTCTCTCTTTTCTCTCTTCCGCTCTCTATTTTCTCTTTCTTTCTCGTTCACGCTTTCTCTCTCTCTTTCTTTCTTTCTTTCTTTCCCTTTCTCACTCTCTTTTACTCTCTTTCTTCCTTCTCTCTCTTTTCTCTCTTCCTCTCTCTATTTTCTCTTTCTTTCTCTTTCACGCTTTCTCACTCTCTTTCTCTCTTTCTTTCTTTCTTTCTTTCTTTCTTTCCCTTTCTCTCTCTCTCTTTTACTCTCTTTCTTCCTTCTCTCTCTTTTCTCTTCTTCTCTCTATTTTCTCTTTCTTTCTCTTTCACGCTTTCTCACTCTCTTTCTCGTTTTCTTTCCCTTTCTCTCTCTCTTTTACTCTCTTTCTTCCTTCTCTCTCTTTTCTCTCTTCCTCTCTCTATTTTCTCTTTCTTTCTCGTTCACGCTTTCTCACTCTTTCTCACTCTCTTTCTCTCTTTCTTTCTTTCCCTTTCTCTGTCTCTTTAACTCTCTTTCTTCCTTCTGTCTTCTTTCTTTCTCTCTCTATTTTTCTCTTGCTTTCTCTTTCACGCTTTCTCTCTCTCTCTCTCTCTTTCTCTCTTACTCACTGCAATGAGCTCTCGTAGCATAAGTGTGATGACATATTTTCTCAAAGTATCTGGCGACGTGACAAGTAAGAACGAATTCATGCCTTTAGCAAGCGCCTTAGCGTTAAGTAGATATGTAAAAAGCAGCTTCAAATATCGAATTCAGTCTGCAGAACTGGTTTTGTGCCATAACGATCGAGACTCAACACCACACAATGCTGATTACACCTCATAACAAGATTTTTATTGTTAATATTATACTAGTTGAACTAGCCACTGCCGACCGAGATTTTATAGATTTAAGAGTATATTGCAGATAATGTTTTTATTCAATTTAAGCAACCTAAACAAGAGGTGAATAGGTTCGCCTATCGTCCTGTTCATACTCCTCCTCGGTCTATTCAACAAGATTTATCTTTTGTTTCTTGTTAACGATTGGTTTTCCGATTACTTTCCTTCTTTTCCATTTCCGGTGTCCCCTTGCGAATGGTACCTTTGACTCTATAATCCTCTATCTCGAGTGACTCTTGGGCCTTGTACAAATAAACGCTGACAATAGTCAAACAGCAACTTTTTAACCCGTTGAGCCATACCTTCCTGAGTAATTTTTGATCCTTCTGTCTGAGGTCCTGAGTCAAAATTCGCAAATAATTGGTATGTAATGTTTCACGGTACATATAAAAATAATTACAAGTATGTACCCACCGTCCAACTGGTGGCTGGACATTACGTCATTTTTCTCTAAAACCAGTAATGCTGTCGTCAAGGCTCAAAGGGTTAAATACTAGATATCTATGAAAATAATACGGGTACATTTTATTAAATCGTTTCACCCCCAAACAAGAGAGTAGTGGTACTAGAACGCGGGATTTTACAGTGGGTAGGGAAAGAGAATGAGAGAAATTAGAATGGGGACGATTGAGAAAAGGACACAAAAGAAACAGAGTTCAAGAAACGAGAATATGGCGATTAACGTTGTATTTAAAGTTTTGAGTATCGTAGTTGTCAGGGAAGCTAGAAATCAGAAGGGACTTGCACATGTGGGAAGTGCGAGAAAAGTGACAGATTAGAATCAAACACACACACACACACATATATATATATATATATATATATATATATATATATATATATATATCCACAGACAGACTGTTTCGCCGTATCACAGCTCCTCAGTGTGACTAGACGTTCGATTGCTTGAAGTCGGGATCAAAACCCAACTGATTCGACATCAGTCAGATATCTCATCGTCGCACGGCAGAAAGGAAGGAATTTTAACGTTTTTCTTTATACGAAATACGCCAGCCGCTCGAAGAACTCAAATCATACTTGAAGAGTAATGCTTAATAGCAGTAGGAGCCACTGTTTTTTAACCACCCCATTTCCCTAGAGAGATCAACCGGATATATATATATATATATATATATATATATATATATATATATATATATATATATATATATTGAACATTGAAGTGAACACTCAGAAGCGATGGACTGTTTCATGTTAAACGCCATCATCCGGTCAACTGACTATATATATATATATATATATATATATATATATATATAACTGACTGTGTGTGTGTGTGTGTGTGTTCGCAAACTACTCGAGAACCATAAGGCATATTTCCATCAAATTTGGAACATAGATTGTACTCAATACTGGGTGTGTCTGGGCCAAAAATTAGTCATTTTTCAAAAATCAATAATCCGATAATCGATAAATATAATGTTTAAATGGGAATTTCCGTTAGTTTGGTTGTTTTTAAACTTTCAGACTTAAAGTCTAAACCCTGAGGCCGATTTTAATGAAACTTGATAAGAAGTGTATGCAACTTACTGTCACGCTTATTATACGCTATATTGATTTTCGTTTCTCTCGACACTGGGACCCCCAGGGTGCCCCAAAGGGACCCCCAAAAATTCAAATTGCTTCAATTTTGATAAAATCTTGCATGTTTGTTACGCTCTTACAATGAGATAGAAATCGGTTGTTATATTTTTAAAAATGCCTGAGGGGGGCCCCAGGATGACCCTATAAACCCCTTGATGCCTCAATTGCTTTTCAAGTGTATTTTGTAACAGTATTCCCCAATTTCAACGAAAATTTCAGTAGATATTGAGATTATATCGAGTAACTGAAGTAGTCACTTGGAATTCACTGAAAATCAACGCTGGGACCCCCACGAGTTAGGTGACCAGTAGGGAACCCCGAAACTTTCAATTAAGTCTACAGCCTTGGCCATAAAGTAGATTAAATAGAAAACTTTTAAAAGATGTGCTTTATTATTTCAATTACTATTAGTCTTTAACCTGTCCTTTGGCTTGAAATTTGGGACCCCTAGGGTGAACCAAAGGGACCCCAAATTTTCAAATTGCTTCGATTTCGACGGAATTTTACATGTATGTTACAATCTTAAAATGAATCAAAAATGATTATCAGATTTTGAAAACTACATAAGGGGCCCCCAAGATGACTCATGAACACCTTGCTGCCCCATTAATCTTTCAATTGTAGTGGTTAGCAGCATTCCGATGAAAATTTGCACATAATATCAGTTTTTCCCATGGATTTCCCGTCTTTGGTACTAAAATAGTTTAGTTTGCATTAACTTGGCAGCAAAAATTATATCCTTCCTTAAGAAAAAAAGAATAAGTGCAAACGAAAGTGTGCACCGATGAGAGAAGTGCAAGTAGGTATAAGACGCGTGTGCAAGATCGATCGAGATGTGTAGTTCATAGTGAGTAGGTTTCTAGCTGCACGTTAATTTTTATTTTTATCACTAGAACGTTTTTTAAGGTAGTCTATTTATAGATAAATCCTAGCTTGCTTATAATTGTTTGCCACGTTCCCGTTGTCTCCCTTATAAACTTGCATTTAATTTATTATGGCTATATTTCCCTTAATATGTATAATATTCTTGCTTTTTAATTGATTACTTCATTGGTATTTAATTGATTACTTCATTGGTATTCAAAAAGCTTAGCCAAACTCCTCCAACTACAGCCTGACAGTAATACCAAGAAAGCGAAATCCTTCACTTGGACGGGCTACTACTACAGCCAAACGCATGAAAGCACGGAGAAGAAACGCTTTGCAACAAGAAACTCAAATTAGGCTGACACAAAATGCTATTCGTACAGCTAATGCAAGGTCAGCAGAAACAAATGAGCAACGGTTAACTAGACGAAGAAGGAACGCCGCCAGAACCCCTGCTACTCGAGATGTTAAAACTGAGGGGCAAAGAACAATTCTATAGTCTTTGTGAACGTTGGTTTTCAGCCATGGCACAGCTGCTAGGAAAAGTCTTTGTTGAATTTCTTCTCCTTCCAATGCATGTTGTTTATTCGATGTAGTTTGTGCAAAAGCTGTCAATAAAGCATTTCCCCTCAACAATTTTCGAAGATTGATTGCGATTAATCTACTTTGCTGACAATTTTTTTTATCTTCTGTGCTTCTGTAAAAAAACAACTTTCTCCTGTTATAAATGTTTTCACACTTCATGTCATTATAATTTTTCGCCATATAGATAAGAGGCATGAAAGAAAAATCTTCTTTATTTTAACTTTACAGATTGGATGAGGTTCGTGATCTTTTATTTTTGAATAAACCCAGCCAACGCCGGGTAATGCTGCTAGTATATATATATATATATATATATAATCAGTTTTCTATATATGTTATACTGTGCAGGGCATAGCGTTAGAAACATTACTATTATCATGAGAAATTTAAGCAGTTGATTTTTTTTCTTTCGAAAGGAGTAACAAAAGAAGTAAGGATATGATTAAAGTTTTATTAAATAAAATATTTTAAATGAGTATTGTGTCTAACTCAATGAATATATTTGTAATAGGAAATATGCAGGACAAAAATTTAGAAATGATTGTAATAACACATGAGATAACAAATGTTAATGAACTTACTTACTTATCTTAATAAAGTGTGGTATTGCCTTTACCAAATAAAACTTCATAGATTCTGTTTATTAGGCCTACGAGTATTTTAATGAACACACATTCCAAGCTGCAAAATGCTTCCATTTAGCTCGTCTATATAGACATACTACCTTCTATCTGAGTAAACTTGACTAGAAAGATATCCCACAAGAGTTTTCTTTAACATTCAAATTCGGAAAATTGACCGGCCAGTTTAAACGTCTAATCACTTGCTCTTCAAAAAATGTCTTGATCCCTCTCGCATTTTCTTGCTAAAGAATCCAGTGTTCACTGCACATTTTTCATCTTTCCGGAGCGATTGGCAAAGAAGATTAACGTACCTTTGAGCATTCACACACCTCTCAACCATCTACAAATCCACCTTTCCTGAAGCAGATATTGAGTCCCATGTCACTACACTTCCTGCACCACTCACTCTAGTAGAAACGAATTCTAAAAAGGAATTCTCTTGTCACTCCAGTAATATTTTTCATCCGGGTCATCGAGGTTGAATTTTCTTTAATCAAAGAAGAATACCAACTTCTATTACTGGCCCCAGATTTGATCTTTGGTGAAGGACAGCCTTCGTTCTTTATGCAATATTGCCAGTTGAGTTCCTTGCATTTTCTTCCACCTTTTCATGTTCCTTTTTATAAAGATATCGACAAATCGTTTGTGGACCTCACAAGATGTGCCTGTCTTCGCTTCGGTGCTTCTCATGCAACGAAAAGATTTTTATCATTCCAATAATCCCCCTGTCTATAGCCTTTGTGTATGGCTGGAGGCCTTCTTTCAAGGTTTTTCATTCTCTAAAATTCAGGATCTTTCAAAAGTGAGTGGATAGCCTTTGGCAAACTTTCCAATTCATCAGCAGTTTCTATTATTGAATCGCCTTCGTGCTGATAGGCAAGGATTTTACAAGTTAAAATCACTTAATTCTGTTTCTTTATACAATACGCTCAATCATGAAAATAACTAAAACGAAATTCTGGTTAGCAAACATGAAATTAAATTTGATATGAAATGCACATGGATTTAAGCTCGTTGTTTCCAGAGATACATCACCGATGATTTTTCTAGTTGTTTTTCATCAATGCA